TATTTACACCACTGCCAATTGTATATAACATGGCTAATCTTACAGAAATATAATATTAACAGGTAAGATAATATTTTTTACAGCTTTTCCATAGAACCCCACTTTAAAAAATCTGAACTGTCACTTTAAATGTATTTAGTACATTGGAAATAATTATAGACACGGGCAAAAACAGAGGTATTCACAATTAAAGTCTTGGGTTTAGCATGGGGCAGGGAGTAAAAAGGCATTTCAGACATGAAAGAATACAGTTTCAGTGTTGCTCATCTTGTGTTACAATTGTTTGTACATAATTTTAAGAAAAAAAAGAATAAAGGTTAGTTATATTAACAGTTAGAATATGTGCTGTGCTGTCTGGTTTTGCAAAGCATAGTTTGGTTAGTGTAGTGTTACACATTAAGGACGACATGAGGCCAACACAAGTGAAGTCGGGTTTGTCTTCTGCTGCGTGCTCTGCAGCAAAGCCACGTGTCAAATGTCAATATACACTGTCTTTCAAAAGCTTTAAATGACACCATGAATTCAGTTTTTAGTGAAGTTTACATAGTGTTACATTTTGTTGGAGGACATAAAATTGAACCTTTTGTCACATAAAAAATGGAAAAAATTTCTTGAATTATTCCCAGGTGTATCTTCTCTGCCACTTTTCTGATTGCTCTAATCTATAATCTGATATACTAATCTGTGACAGATTCTCTCTCTAGTTCAAGCAAACGTTGCAATTATCAGTTGTTTTAAAATGCATTGTTGAATTAAGCCCAATTCTTCTTCTGTTTTGCCATCAGTGTTCACAGCACTGTGGGGTTCAGCATCCCAGACAGTCAAAAGCAGAAATGTTTCAGCTTTTAACCTACAAAATAAAAGCTGCAGAGACTTCTGTATGCAAACAATGCTACGAGCCACATCTAATAAGATTTTTATCCATTTAAGATGAGTGTACAGTTTAACAGTTGAGGTTAAAAAAATGTTATCGACAATCAATTTCAAAGGTCATTTCAGTTTCTGCACCCCCCCCAAATGGTGTTTTATAACCCACAATGGGGTCCCAACCCAACTTTGGGAACCACTGGAGTAGAGCATGAATGCTTGGCACTTGGAGTATAATCGATGGGTTATTTGCCATCAGAGCAGTCCTTTGCAATATTGGTAATTGACTGTGAGTGCAGATACTGTACTTAATAACTGTTTATACTGTAACATGTAAAATGTTCTACTCAGTGCTTGCGGACGTGTTCAGCACTGAATACACTTGTACAGCAAGGGCTACAATGTAATGGTTAATTCGGGCTGATTTTTATTATTATATATATATTTTTTTGTCAATATGAAATACCAATTTCTGTTTTAAAATTTTTTATATGTATTTTGAATGGAACATAATCTGTATGTCCTGAAGCGTCTCAGTAATCCAGGTAGAAAAAAAATCAAAAAGAAAAAAAGTAGGTCCTCTGGATGGGTTCTTCTTTAGTGAAACGATTCGTCTCTCCTCCAAGAGACTTCTTCAGTCTGATGAGTTTCAGGTGAACTCAGCCTTATAAGCACTGCCTCCAACATGGTGGATAAACAGGTTAGTCAGTATATGCTGTTAAGTGTCAGGAGGACTGTGATCAGGCATACATTGGGGGAAACAAAATAGCCACTGTTCAAAAGAATGAGCCAGCACAGACGAGCTACATCATCAGGTCAGGACTCTGCAGTTTACACTCATCTACAGGCCAGCGGTCACTCTTTCAGGGATGAAGATGTTCTCATCCTTGATAGAGAGAAATGTTGGTTTGAGAGAGGAGTAAAGGAAGCCATCTTTGTGAGGAAAAACCGTCCACCATTAAACAGAGGTGGAGGCCTTCGTGTCCAGTTGTCCTCCTCCTACAACGCTGTTATTGCAAKTATGACTCAGCCCCCTGTGAGCAAAAGTTGTGAATCAGGGCCCCAACAATAGTCAACACAAAGAGGGAAAGGGAGACAAAAACAAGGGGACGTCGATCCCCTGCTTGCACTCACTATATACACATAACACAACATCAAATAACCACAGCCGAAGCATCCAAACCAGTAAGTCAGGTGATGGGGCACATGACCCTCTATGAGCAATAGAGCTACTCAAGCCTATTAGTTGTTAGCCCTCTTTAACATATGACTAACCTGTTTGTCCACCATGTGGAGGCAGTGCTTATAAGACTGAGTTCACCTGAAACTCATCAGACTGAAGAAGTCTCTTGGAGGAGAGACGGAACGTTTCACTAAAGAAAGAACCCATCCAGAGGACCTACTTATTTTTTTCTTTCTGAACAAAAACTGTAATTATCCTGTTGCTGTAATTCACAAATGCACCTGTCAATTTCTCTTACCATAATTGCATCCCATTTATTAGCTTGGTGTGGTCCAAAGAGGATTTTTTAAGTAGAAAATTTTTATATGGTTTAAGCCTTTTTTTGTTTTTGTTTTTTTTTATAAATATCCGGATAGCTTCACAACTTGCACACTCAGCAGTTACTTAACTCAGCTTCCCTTCCTTTTTCACCCACCCTTAATCCACCTTCCTTTACAGCAATAAGTAGAGCGACTTCCCACTCTGTTCTCCGAACAGTTTCGTGAGCTAAGCAGTTTGTTCCAAAACTGTTTGACAAAAATTTTACAAAAACAAACCTCTTCATCACATTTAAGGTTTCAGTTTTGCTTTTATTGCTGCAGGAAAGTAAAACAATTTTGCATCTCAAGTCCTAGAGTGGTTGTTTTGCAACTAAATTTTTTTTACTTTTTTTTTTTTTTTCATTTTAAAAAGGTCTGCTTACTCCTCAATAATTATAGATTTTTTTATTGGACTTTTAACTAAATTTCAACAATATGGTTTTCTAAAGCTTTTGAAAGGTAGTGTAAATATTTCGGTTACACTCTCATTGTCTAGTCAGAGTGACTAAATAAAACTTGCTAAAATAACTCTTAAGGAAAACGTTTAGCATGCAGGTTTTTATTACTGACTGATTAAAGGGTGTCAATAACTGATGTCCTAATATTTTTTATTAATAAATGCCAATTTTGCCATTTGAGTCTCTCTTTGTGTTTTGCTGTTCTCTCTGCTACGAAACTGCTACACTCAAATGATTCTTTTTATTTTTATTTTTTATTTGTGATAGTGTATTTTGGTTTGTTTGCACTTTCATGTTCTTCTTTCTGTTTTGCTCAGTAAAACTCCCAGAAAAGCAGTTTTATTCCGTGAATATCAAGTCTCTACTGGAAGATCGAATAAAATTGTTTCAACGATTGCAAAATATGTTCATGTTGTGATGTGTCTGTGTGCCTTTTCTTACTGAAGTTTACACAAGTTAAGGTGATCAACTTTGTGTACTGCAGGAACCTGCTGTGTAAATCCATTAGGTGGAAACAAATAAGTGTAAACTGTTTTATTATAGGAAAAAAAGCGTTTCACTGTGACATAATGAACTGGTCAAAATTTAGAGTTAGGGTCAAGTACTGCTGTGGTTTTAGTTACTATAGGGTTAAAGACCAAAGCACTCCTCTGTGCTTCTATAGAACTAGACCCTCTACTTCAGCAGCACCACAATTGCAGTACATTTAAAGTGAGTATGTTTAAAAAGCAAATGCCCAATTGGGAACTGACAAGTATAAATGTGGCCATGTTTGTCTATTAAGTACTTTCGATCCTGTGATGCTGACCTCTGCTTCTTGCACAATGACCCCCTCCCCTAAACAACAAAGTGGGAAAGTATAATGATTGAATTAACAAGATCTGATACAACTAAATCAGATATCGAATAAAGTCACATAAGTCACATTCTTCCAGCAGCACTGACAACAAAACGGGGTTAAAACCTACAAAACTGGACTTAACTGCGCTGAAGTTTCTACAATTTACAGTATGCCTGTCTTCCAGCATTTATTAAGGAGTTCAGCAGCACCTTCCACACTCCTACTTCCAAGGGTTTTGCCTTCAAGAAAACTTCAAGAATTGTTCCCTAAAGATGAATTACTTTTTAGTTGCCAGCTTTTACAGCATTGTTTCTCTTTTTCTTTTTTCTTTTTTTTGTTCAAACTCAGCAGGATTTTCACACACAAACCTGGAACAGAAAAACAACAAGGCTGCAGCAGGCATAGGCTGGCTAAAGGCCCCTAAAGAACCACTTTTAGGTTGCACCCCATCACTTGAGTATCACTGTTTTAAAGAACCTTTGTGAACAATTCCTTGAATGTCTTCTGAAAGTTAAAACCATGTGTTATCTTGAGGGAATGTTCCCTAATAGTTCCCTAAAGGTGATTATCAAGTTTTACCTTGTAACCTTTCGGGAATCTTTGGGGAATATTTACTGAAAAAATTCTGAAGGTTATACTGTGTAACATTTAGAGAACGTTCTCTGAAGATGGGTTAAACTTTAACATTGAAACCTATGGGGATTGTCCCCTAAAGGTTCCCTGAAGGTAAGTCACAAGTCTTCAAATGCAACCTTTAGAGAACCTTCTGTTAACATTTTCCGAACATTCCTGCACTGTGTAACCTTTATGGAAACATTTCCTTTTCTAATTTTTATTTTTTAATCATCATGACAAAATAGAAATAACATAATGCACTACTTGAAACAACTACAATAAAAACTCCCATAGATGGAAGTGAGTCCAGTCAATTTAATATCATGTTATCTTCTGCTGCCACCTGCTGGTTATAATTGTCTTTGCTCCTATGTATTTTTTATATTTTGTTGTTGTTGTTTTTTAATTCATTACGGGATATTTCGTCAAAAATAGAATAATTATGCAATTATAAAATATATTTACCTAGAATATATGATTTATTATTATTATTATTATTATTTTCAGAGAATTTCAACACTTCCGGTAAAAAACACCTCACCGGAAACAGGAAGTGAATGAATGAACGGAGTTGACATTTGTGTGCAACACCTGTTTGCTCATGGTACGAGGTCAGAGTAAGTGTTTCCTTCGGACTTACAGATATTTTGTTGAAACAGTTGTCAGTGACAGTTTTATTAACATTTTAATTGGCGGTCGGACCTGAAATTGAGACAATAAGCTAACTGTTAGCTGAATTATGATCATTAATTTAGCAGACATGTCAGCATAAACACAAAGGTATTTTTTTTTTTAACACCCCACTTTTTACCCCTGAAAAATGAGAGGGTATGGTCTCCTTCGCCTCCTCTACCGTCCTTTTTCTACTCTTCCCAAACTCGCCAGACCACCACGCTGCCTTCGTCAAGGAGTCATCGCTGGTTCCCTGCCCTGCTGCCAGAGCACCATTGTGGGCCACAGCTTTCACCCTTGGAGGGGTGTGGGCAGCACTGCTGTCAGTCAGCACATCCGCGACCTGAGTGGGCCTGAGCAGAGACTGCTGAATAAACTGTATGACGGACTGATCTCAGGACAGCGGGCGTCTCTGGCCGAGTCCATCACTCTGGTGGAGACTCAGCACCCCAGGAAGAAAGAGTTGGCCCAGGTGCTGCTGCACAGGGTGCTGGCCTATAGGAGGGAGCAAGAGAGCCGTAATGGAGGAAAACCAGTGGCCTTCAGAGTAGGTCTGTTATTTGAACTTGAACTTTTGTTTTGAGCTTTTTTATGTCTGAATGATTTATAGGTCAGAGTCAAGTGTCCAAACGAACAGTCTGTCGTCTGAGGATAGTCATGCACCGAACATAGAATAGAATAGAATAGAATAGAATAGAATAGAATAGAATAGAATAGAATTTATTGTCCCGCCGAGGGGAAATTCCGGTGTCACAGCAGCATCAGTACAGACAAGTACTGTACAGTACACACAAAGCAAAAATTGACACCGACTAGCTAGCCATGATACAACTACTAATAATAACAAATATATATAATATAAAGAATTGTGCAATAGAAAACAATATGTTTTGCTTTACAGACAGCAGACTATCAGAATCTGACATTAGGAATCAGAAATTGCCTGTTTTCAGTGCAAAACAATCTCAACAGGCCAATAACTGTAAAGTGAAGTATTACAATGCAGAAAATAAACACAGATGTGCAATTACAGCAGAGTTTATTTAAGGTTCAAATGGGGTAATATCAGAGCAGCTGATCGCTCTGATTTGTAATAATATAAATGAGTAGTAGTGGAAATGATTGTTCAGTTGAGTAATTACATTGAATAGTAACAGTACAAATGATTGTACAGCAGCAGGTGTGTAAACGCTTATTGTGATTTTTGTAAACACTTGTGAGTTTTGGGCATGGTGCTGGTTATAGAGTCTGACAGCAGCTAGGAGGAAGGATCTACGATAACGCTCCTTTGTGCACCTCGGATGCAGCAGTCTGTCGCTGAAGGAGCTCTCCAGTTTGGCCACAGCTTCATGCAGGGGGTGGGAGATGTTGTTCATCAATGATGCTATTTTAGTCAGAGTTCTTCTGTCTCCCACCACCTGCACTGTGTCGAGGGGGCATCCCAGCACAGAGCTGGCCTTCCTGATGAGCTTATCTAACTGCTTCCTCTCAGCTGCAGTTAAGCTGCCGCTCCAGCTAACCACCCCGTAGAAGATGGCTGATGCCACCACAGAGTCATAAAATGTCTTCAGGAGCACCCCCTGCACTCCAAAAGACCTCAGCCTCCTCAGCAGGTAGAGTCTGCTCTGACCCTTCCTGTAAAGAGCGTCCATGTTGTGAGCCCAGTCCAGTTTATTGTTCAGGTGAACACCCAGGTACTTATAAGAGTCCACTATCTCAATGTCCACTCCCTGGATGTTCACCGGTGTCAGTGGGCTGGGTCTGTGCCTGTGAAAATCCACCAGCAGCTCCTTGGATGAAAATGGCTTTAAAAGCAGCCTAAAAGTTAACTTTTGAAAGACTTTCAGTAAGAAAGCCCTTATAAAAGAAGATATGTTCAAAAGTCTCGTTAAAAGATTACAATAGTTTGAATTCTTTAAAACCAACATAAAAAGTAGCATTTGCTTAAGAAATGCATAACACCCTCTGCCCTGTAAGCCACACAAAGAACTTCAAAAGAGATCTGAGATCTTAATGGGACTTGCCTGGTTAAATAATGGTAAATAATAAAAAATAACAAATAACTACCACACTACATTCTTGCTCACTTTCTGTGAAACTGTGGCCATTTTAAATTGTGCAGATTACTTTCAGAGAGTTTTATTAAACTTCACTGGTTCATGAGGCGTTTTGCTATCAAACAGGACAGGCAAGCTCTCAATTTTACACAGTGATGAATATGAAATTGATTACTTTCCACTTTTTATTTTCAGGTCTGTCTGGTCCTCCTGGAGCTGGGAAGTCCTCTTTCATTGAGGTGGTGGGAAAGATGTTAACAGGACGTGGACATAAAGTGGCAGTGCTGGCTGTCGACCCCTCCTCCTGCACCACAGGAGGTAACAGCCAGACACACTGATGTAAACACAATTTTAACAATCTAAAAATGTACAGTATGTACCGTATTTATTCATCGATTTCGAGTATAATATGATCATTTTTTTAACTTAAAAGGCATAAAAAAATTGAATTACCAATAACTTGTGTATAATACTACCCCCCACCCCACTTTATGGATGATTTTTAGGGTTAAATTTCCTGTATTATACATGAATAAATACAGTATGTATGCAAATGTAACACAGCAAATCAATATGAGGTCAAACAAAGTGAAATAATCTTCAGATTCCAATTTTTTTAAGCTTCATTTTGATACCTAGATCATGCTGAAATCATGAGCGGTGAGTTATCTTGCTAAGTGAGAATCCTCTGGAAAATCAATCTGGCTCCTATGTTTTGTGTATTCTAATGAAGATTTTTATTTGTGTGTGTCATTTGAAAAAAGAAATGTTAAACCAAATTTGGATATTGGGGTTTCTCAGTTGTTATTGAAAGTTGTTTTACTAGCATGCTGTGAATTAAAGTAGCATATTGAGCTTTTGGGCTCAAAATGCTCAGAAAAGTGCTTTAAAACCATTTCCTTCAAGGTATCAATCCATACATAAGTATTTAGACATCATTATTTGACAAAATCCAATGATTGCATTTTTTTTTTTTTTTTTTTTTTGCTAAAGCACTATAACTGCCTATTTTCTCACTATACTAATTGTGACTTAATCCCTGGTTCGATGTAATGGGTCACTTATATCTTGGCTATTCATGTGTAAATACAGTGGCAGTTCTAGGGTCGGGGCCACAGGGGCATTGGCCCCTGTTGAAGTTTTATTGACCCCCTGAAGTGTCCCTGTCCTGTCACTCATCTGTCCTTTGCCCAAGAGTGATGATGCTGGGTGCAGTTCCATGTCCAAGCACTAGAGGCGCTAAATGAGACCAATAGAAATGTCCAGCATGAATCAAGCTGATAGAAGTCTTTTTCTTTTCTTAAAATTTGAACAATCCTGCAGAAAAAGTCTTTCAACTCACCAATGATGACTAGATTTTCTCACATGCTGTGTTTGAGAGTATTTTGTCTATGTACATTAAAAATGCACGTAAAATTGGTACTAATTGGAAAATTTACCGTGCAATCTATATATACGCCTTACCAAAACCAGGGATTTGTGTGCAAGGAAACTGAACAAATACTTGGCCCCCCTATGAATATTGTGGCCCCTTACTTAGAAATATCCTAGATACGCCACTGTGTAAATAGGACCTTATTTTTAATTTTAGGTGTAGTTTCACTTAAATGTAGCACAGCACTTCTAAAATATTAAAACCATCTGACAGAGGCTTCTTGTCGCAGGGTCTCTGCTGGGCGATAAGACTCGTATGACCGAGCTTTCCAGAGACATGAATGCTTTCATCAGGCCGTCGCCAACCTCAGGAACACTCGGTGGCGTCACCCGAACAACCAACGAGGCCATCGTTCTGTGTGAGGGGGCAGGATATGACATCGTCCTGGTGGAAACTGTTGGTGAGATTTACTGATCCTCAACTCCGGTTTTGTCTTTTAATCCTGAACTATTTTCCATAAAGTTAAACTGGTCAGTTGTTTGAATTAAAAACAAACAACTTGAACATTTTCTTGACGTTTATCATTTTAGCTGCTTATGTATGCAACTTGGACTGATAATTATGTCACACTTCAAGTAAAGTGCCATTCCAACCCTGGTTTGCTTGAAGTTTGACAGTTTTTGTGGTGTTATTAAAAAAAAAAAAGTTTGCCATGACAGCCGCATTCGCCTTTGTTACAACTGGCAGCACACACTTTTCAGTCCTCAGCGACACTTACAGAGTTTGACGAGTGTGGCCGATCTGCGTTTTCAAGGATAAAATTTATTCATTGTGAGGAGTCTCGAGTTTGTTTGCGCTCATGATTATTCAAAGGCATTTCTGACTTAATGAACTAGTCTAAAGACAAGTAAGCTTTCCCCTCCTCTTTATGTTCGTGATGTGTGTAAATGTGAAAGCACAGAAAAGTTGAATATGTAACGTCGCAGAGCACACGTGATTAAAAGATGTCGGGCCTTAAATAGTGTAATTACCTGTTGATGGATGCTTAGATTCACGCGCACGAACACGTCAGCATCATACAGATCAAAAATGAGAACTGAAGTGTTTTGTTGTTGCTTTCAGGTGTGGGTCAGTCCGAGTTTGCGGTGGCAGACATGGTCGACATGTTTGTGCTCCTGATCCCACCAGCAGGTGGCGACGAACTCCAGGTCAGTGAAGAGCAGTGGCAGCAGCCTTCCATCACTTTTCTGTTGTTTGAACTTAGAGCAAAGTGTTTTTTGTTTGTAGCACGCTAACAAATTGTCCTTAACAGTTATACTGCATCATTTTATACCACTTAGATTTTCCTCTTCTTTTTGGAAAATGTCCAGTTTGGGTGATATGTCTTGACATTTATGTAAGTAAAGGAGTATGAGAACAATAGTTTTATTGTTCTCATACTCCTCCTTTTAGGAAAAATGTGCAAAAACTTTAAGTTTAGTCTTAATTTTCCATCTTTTTACAAGGTTTTGCTTAAATTAATAAAAGAAACATACAGATTTAATATTACATTGCATCTTAGTGTGATTAATAATGTTATTTTCAGTAGCTTGTATTTATAAGTAAAGATTAACATGCTGACAAAAACTATGTGCTGATCAGTTAATTCATTATGCTAATTAATGACTCTATTAGCCAAACTCACTGTGATTCATTTTATTGTGATTAAGGTAAGACTCTGAGGTGAGGCGACATTTGTATTCATTTTTAGCAATTATGAGTTTCTGTTTTGAAACCACAGCAAGAAGTTCATTAAGAATGACTGACTCCTGTTTCAGTTGAAGAGTTTCTGTCTGTGTTTCTTCAGTGGTCTGTAATGTAAATGTAGCTGCTTTAGGGTCTCAGTACTGTGCCACACATGGCGTTTGATTGTGGCGACATTAGCTGAGTTAATGAAAGAAACGTCTAAATTGGAGCAGTGTGCAAACAGTCGAAGCTGCTGTGAATAGTCTCCTAAGGAAACGTTTTGCTCTTTTCCTGATAACAAATGTTTACTTTGAGTTACTGTGAGTTTCTGTAATTGTTCTAGCACGTGTGAGAAGTCTAGCTGTGCACGTGGCCTTCCATAGATTTAAGGTTGCTTATGGTTAGTAGTCACTGCTGGTGGATAACCTCAGGGTCAAATCTGACAACTTTCAAGTGGCAGTTGGTAATTAGCCAACCTCCTGAGTCTGGACCAAATTCAATAAACTTCGAAAAGGTTGTTGCAGTTATGAAGCCAAAAAGGATCATTCCCACAAGTTATTGTTGCCTCTTAGTTTGGTGTCCCATTTCCATTGTATATTTTTTTTGAAATATATTAAATTATAACTTGTGGAGTGGTTCATACTGCACATCCAGGTGTTTGAATCTCTCTTTTGCTGAGCCGTTTCAGTTTGTCAGCTGATGTTTTGTTTTAGACAGTAGGGTTGGGCAATATTGGCAAAAAAATTAATCACGATTAATTGGTGTATTTAGCCGATAACGATTAACTTAAAGTGTATCTTACCCCGCTGTGAAAAGATAACTCCGCCCCCAGGCGAAATTTGAAAAATGCATCAAAGTGGGTAGGGGAGGGGGGCTTAGAGAGTGGAGGTGTGGCCAGGACGAGAAAACGTGACAGCCTCGGCTGAGCTGTCCGCCTCACAGGACAGAGGAGTGGAGCGCTCCGCGACAGCCTGACAGAAAAAAATAAAAGCATACAGCTGCAGCTGCTCTCAAGATCACTAGTTTAAATCATGAATAAAAGTGTTGGGTCTTGTTTGACTGAAGCTTGGTCCATTAGGGCTGCAGCTGCCCCGCCGTGTTTCTGCCTTTTTTTTTTCCCTCCTCCA